ACACACACACTGTTGTTTCTTCAGGGGAAAATCATTAATTGATCATTTAAGGACAATAAAGAACATAAATTCAACTTCTCTACATATTTTTTTGTGTTTAAGGCCCCCTTTTACCGCCCATCTTTAGAAATATTATCCATCTGAGCACAATAAAAACTAAAGTATTTAAAGAATAAAAGCAAAGTACATGACAAAAATATAGTCTACGTTTTCTCAGTGATAGCGATTCAATGTATTTCCACTCTGCAATTGTTTCCCTATATAGATGTTTTCGTAGTTAGTGGCGGGGTCCGCAATTTTCTGCGTGGGTCACAAGCTGCTTATCTATTTCCAAGGAATGCACAGGAAACAATGCATACAGGTAATCCAGCATTACTGTTTATAATTTTATCTCATTGATAGAAGCGTTTACTGTTTACTCTTCTAACGCTGTATCAGAGCTGAATGAAGTTACTGATAATTCTAACTGAACACTTCTCGCTGCTGCTACCTCACATTAAAATAATTTAACTTTTGAAACATGACGTTGCTTTTATTGTGAAGCAGCCACAGGAAACACAATGTATTTGTCAAGAAGTTAGCACCGAAAAAGCATCTTCAAAACAAGCCAGAGTCATTTTGTCTTTCTACTTTGTCTACAAAGTAGCGGCTTTAGGTGTATTTGCTGAAGCTTATTAATTAAAGCACACTTTCCGGTACCATGATGACGTTTACAAAATGTGCATCGATGTGCAGATCAATGCAGAGGAGGCTGTTTGTTTTACTTTCAGGAAAGGACCACTTCATTAAACTGTGTGTGTGTTTACGCATGTGTATGTATGTAGTCAGCAGGAACTGGGATTACACTCATGTAACCTAGTGTATCCACAGTAACCTTGCCCAGTTGCATGCATACACATACATATACACACACACACACAGACAAACCCACACACACACTGAGTCAGCAGAAACAGGAGCTTGGTGACACCTTTAATGAACCCAAGTGTTATTCTTCAATTAAAATACGGATGGGTACTGAGCCAAGAAACTCCTCTCAGGATTGCTCCAGTTACATGACAGCCGAATCCTTCTCGTCATGAAAGCTCTCTTTCTCCTTATCTATCACTCACTCTGCATCTCTGCTTTCTTGCTCCATCATGCCTCAATTCCCTCCCCTGTAAAGTCTCATTGTCTCTCTCTCTCTCTTTTCTCCCTCATTCCATTTATATGCATGGTAAGGTATGTGTTGTAGCAAGCAAGCCTAACTTGTCAGGCACATAGCTGCCAACTTATGTCATTACATACTTATCAGTTCTTTCCACTTCCTTGGTGTCTGTCAATATGTCAGTGTGCAGCAGGTAGGCACAGTATTAGTCCTGCAGCAGCATGTTGGTCCAGCAGAGGGCATCACTACTATGTGGAGCCGTCACAGGCACAAATTATATTATCTAGAAATATTACAGACATAGTAACAGACAGCATGGCCCTACACATTTGGCATACCAAATGTTTTGTTAAAATGTTTACTTTTTAGGCTTAAATATAAATCAGATCAGTCTTTTCAAACTCATTTCACTGAATGCCATTTTTTCC